GCGCGCATGCATTGGAGTTGTGTCATTGTGGATCGGCCATTCAAACTGCCAATGCCCACGAACCCGATGAAGATGGAAGCCCTGTCTGCGGTGACAACATGCCACTGGAGGGCTTTGTTTTAAGGTAAGTTTCACATAATGTGTTAGTATGCGATGCATATTAGCACATTATGACACTGCCTTGCAGAAGACAACTTTTTTTTTTTTTTTGAGAGTTTACTATCACTTTATGTTAATTCTTCTTTCGATAAAAGTTACATGAAACACTGTAAATGCTTGTCAAACAGGCACTAAAGTTGAGAAGCAGTGGACAAGGTTTTGATTGTTACAGACCATATAAATTAAGCTTTATTTCACTGCTTTGAAGATTTAGCAAAATTTTTCTAAACTTCATCACACATTTTTATTAGATTTGGGTTGCTCTTTTGTGGTTTTTCTTGATGGGAGAGTTGATCTAAACAAAAGACTATGGTGAACAAAGCCTGATTGTTTTATAGCACACGAAATTAAGTCAATGAGTGGACAAGTACACAAGAAATGTATTTCAGTTCCTAAACATTTAAAGGCTAAGTTCACCTTTTAAAGAAAAAAAAATAATAAATGCACATATTTTTCATAGGTGAAATGTCAGACTCCTGCAGGCATGTGTCCTCCAGCTTTCTGCCTGTACCTCTGTACATGCGTTGGTTTAGAAAGCTAAAGGAAGTTTCAATGGACTATAAGGGTGCTGATCAGCACACTCGTAGTTCATTTGGAACTACAAGTTCATCTGATGATCCCTGTGAATGAATGACGTAGCTGTGTGAGCAGAGCCCATGTAGCTGCACTGATTTTAAAAATGTGATAGCAGCTTCGGGGGAGAGAAACTGGGTGGGGGGTGTGGGTAGGGTGCTGGAACATGCTACATTTTACACCATAAATATGGGTGAAACATGTACCATAAGTTCTAAAGGTGAACTTATCCTTTAAGATAATGCTGCGCTTATACTGCAGATGAGGCCTATATTTTTCACCATTGCGTTCAGCAGCTTTGTGGGCTTTTATGTATTGTGTCCACTAGATGGAGACGAAATACCGTAGTACTGCTGCAATTTAAACAAAAAGAACATTGAGCTCTTATTTTCAGTTATTATTGCTAGATTTATCTTAACCACTTGAGTACCAGCTTGTATATACCATTTTGTCACCAGGTCATTTTGAACCACATCCAATCCACATGACATGTGAAATAACATTGCTTTCTATGGTACCTGTTCACACATGTCTGGTGCACTGGAGGTGCGGATTCAATGCAGTTTAAAAATGAATCCTGTACGATTTCTGAACAGTGCGGTCCGGTTCAGGTGCAGATTACAGCCTATTGATTTGTATGGGAACCATTGCTAAAATCGTGACCTTATCCTGTCCTGAACCTGAAGTAAACTTGACCTGAACCTTTGAACAACTACTGTATCAATTAGCTGTGAAACCTGAGAAAAAGAGCAGCCCACATATTTCACTCAGCACAGGGTTACTTATCTTTTTAACAATAAATAGCCCTCTGACTGGGTTGTCCTTTGGATAGTATTGGTATCTACTGTATGTATGTGTAGTGCAGAGCCATAACTGGTCTGGATGTTTAATCCTAGGCTCTTTTCCCCATGTAGCACTACCCCCTTAGCAGTTGCTGATGTTTTGGGTCCCCCTATAGTCCTGCACTGCCAGGCAACAACACACATTTTCCACAGACTAGCAAACAGAAGACAGTAAACAGTTCTTAAGCTTAGTTTTTTACTTTTATTTGGGGTATTTGAACTTGGAAGGGGTAAGGGGTGTATGGGATGTCCAAAGGAACTGCAACTGAGGACAACTTTCTGGCAACTGTGTACAAGTCTTTTCACAGCAAAAAGTCCTTCATGAAGAGCTCTCCAGCCTCTCCTGGTGTATCACCCCAGACCCCAGATAAATCCTCTTCTCATCCAGCTATCTGGAGAAAATCCCTGGACAAGGGGATGCAGTGCCTGTCACTTTAAGTTTAAGCAGTCCCAGGTAAGAAGAGAGTCAGATTTCCCACCATAATGCCCCTTTCCCCTTAACTGGCCCAGGGGGTATAGGATTACTCACTCTTCCTCTCCTGTGTGCTTGTTGGGTTGGTGGCTGCCTTCAGGCCTTCTGCTAGGATGGCTTCTTCCCTTTCAGGGGACTCCTGAGGTTGAGTGATTCTCCTTTTCAGCACCTCTGCCTGGAGGTAGGCCACTTCCCACTGAGCCCCCTCCCAGGCTCCTGCATCTCAGCCTGCTTCACATCTGCTGACCCCATGCCAAGTCTCCTGCCTAGGGATTGAGCAGGATCCCTAAAGAGTGCAGACCAGCTCCTTCTCACCCCTGCCCACTGAGTTCTAGAGACTTCTCCATGTCTCTAGATCAGGGGGAGGTATCAGGGAGCTGATCTGCAGGGCCTCTCAGCCCTGACCCGAATTTGACCCCTCTGACTATCACCTAAGCTGCTACTCAGCCTTCTAACTAAAAAAAATTATTAGCTAGCTCGCCCTAGCTAAGTAAGAAGGTGCTACACCCTAATTAAACTCCTGTTTATCCTGGTCTCCGTACCAAGAAAACCCATTCAGGAAAGGTCAGAAGACCCTCCAGACATCTCCCACTCACTGACCTGAATTGCTACTCAGCCTTCTAACTAAAATAAAATTAAAAGCTCCCCTAGCTATGTTTCCTTAGCAGTTTTTTTGACATACACTCGGGCTTTGCAGCGCCCTCTGACCATCACCCAGGCTGCTACTCAGTCCTTACTCAAAACGGTTTTAAACAAAAAATTCAGAACCACTATTTGTGGGGCTCCCTGAAAACGATTTTTGCGACTTTGCTCAGCGATGTATTTGCCTCTGTATTTCAAATTTCAGTGTTTTTGGTTTGATTATATTATTGAATTAACTTGATTATTATTATATTATTATTTTTTATGATTATTAATTAAATTATAATTTATGATTTTGTGTTTCAAGTTTTATCCCTAACTCTTGTTATTTCAGTGGTTATTCCTAAAAATTACAGCCTACAATTAAAAAACTACATATTTCCATGCAAAAAAATGGTACCCGCTTTCAGCCAAAACTGACATGATCATTGCCAGGGAGGAGGTCCTGGGTCTCCCCAAAACCCATTCAGGGAGGGTCAGAAGACCCTCCAGACGTCTCCCACTCACTAAAGTCCTCATCACTCACATCCCTGTAGAACTTAGGGGAGTCAGGGCCAGACTTCAAACTGCTCCCCTCTGTGGAAACAAGTACAGGTGCCACATCTGTTGCAGTCTTACCTCCTGTCCTCTCACTGAGGACAACTTGCTTTTCAGATGATGGGTCCCTCCCCACTAATCCCAGGATGGGTTCCTGACGGTGACTATACACATACCATAAACATTTGTATGTTTCCCTATCCTTAGAAATGGTTGCAACAAAGTCTGCTTTAAAGGGATGGTACCAAGAGCTCGCTTGCCCCTCGGTACCAGCCTCACACCTGTGTCAGTGAAGCATTTGGCTCAGTCTCTTCTCTGCCCCTCACTCCCTACGAGACTTTCAGTTTGGCTGGAAGAACTGTGCATACCCCACCATCTTGTTACTGTCTGCCATATGCAGGGTGTACTTCTTCTCCAACACTCAGTCCATCACTCTGCCCCCTCTCCCGGGGGCTCCTGGCGCCACTTCTCCCACGCCAACACTTAACCCTTCCTCTTCCAAGCCACAAACAGTTCCTGAATCATGGCAGATTCCACTGCAATCAGTTCCTGAATAAAGGCAGACGTCCTCCACCGGCTCACCCCTTATGAAGTTGTACATCTGTCACTGGCTGCATTCACTGTACACAATCTTTGAACATCTCCCTTAGCAACAGCTGCCTATGTCAGGCAGGAATCTAGGACATAGCCCCCAGATGTAGTGCATCTGGTCTGGCTGTTTGATCCCACGTTCCATTTCCTGATAGGCACACAACAGTCTGGCTCACAGCATTTCCCAATCACTCGAGTCAGTGAACAGGCTGTGCATGTCTTTTTGTGTTTTTTTTTTTTCTGCATATGAACTTGGATAGGGTAGGAATAAGCTTAGGGAAACTCCAATGAACTTCAAACTAGTAGTAGAGGACACTAATGTTGAACTAATACTTCAGGGCGAAGGCACCCCTTTTATGAAGTGTAGGAAAAATGTTACTAAACAGGGACTCCTCAACAGGAATACAGTCCTGAGTGTACTGGTAATAAAGTAAATCTTTCAAAAGAAAGTCTCTAAGTCCAGAAGGCTGGTACTGGCTGTGTCCTGAATACTGTGTGGCCACCTGTAGTATCAGTCAGTTTCTGTACTCCAAAGAAGCTTTCTGCAAATGCTTTAGGAAAATAGAAGATAGTTCTCCCAGCCAAACGGTAGCCAGGACCCCATAAAAGATTCTTGCAGGTGGATTTCCCAAGGATGCCACATCCTTCAGGCTGTGTCTTACTCCCTGAGGAGCTTTGGATAGGAGCTTATTTATACCCCTCTCAGCCCCCTGCTGGTCACTCACCATATTGACCAGGGATTGGTCAGAGAAGCATTAATATACAGGCTGGAGTCTGTGCTCTCCTACCCACTATGCCCCAGGTCCTTGGGATACAGGGGTAAGTAGCATATACCAAGAGAACCCAATGCAGACCTAACTAATGTTGCTCTCCCTAACCACAGGGAGGCCAAAATGTACATTTTAACCAACTAGTAGCCTAATAGGGTGCTACATATGGTTCTGGACATGTTACAGACAGTTAACAAATACTTTACCAAGGGATAGATTGGAATGTTATGGTTTTAAATGCATAAACCTGCAATATAATATATGAGACTGCTACGAAATATGAAATGTCAGTTTGACTCACTCTAAAACACTGTTTTATTTTTCACAGATAATAAGGATGTTGTACCTGGTCCTGGAGTTTACAGGCCTGAGAAATGTATCATTCCAACCCATCGCAAACCCCCATCATACTCCATGGGCTCCAGAACCCGCTACAGAATAGTTGATCAGGTTCCAGCGCCTAACACATACTCTTTGCCTCCAGTTCTGGGTCCAAGAGTTCCTGGGAAAGCTTCTGCTCCAGCTTTCACTGTGTCTGGCCGATCACATCATGGAGGGCATTCTGAAGATTTGGCTGTTACACCAGGTCCAGCTCACTATATTCAAATAGATAACAATAGCTACATGAAGAAAGGTCCAGCTTATTCCATGCTTGGGCGACATCAAGTTTCCAAAAAACACAATTTGCTACCCCAGGGCCTGGAGCTTATAGTCCTGAAAAGGCAACAAACAACAAAAAAAGAGCACCTGTGTTCTCAATGGGCATTAGGCACTCTGAGTACACCACACCTCTCATCATAGAAGTATCTAACTGATCCTTCCCCATTCAATAACTACCATGAAAACTGAGAAATGATTAAATTGATCCAAAGCTAACTGCACAATAAAAAGATGAAGAAGATATTAAACACAATCTGATTAGCTGCTATATGTTTTAGACATGTAGTTTATTAGGATATCCTTTATATCAAAATAGAATATGCATTTTTAAAATGCATTTAATGTGGTATTAAACCCAAAATCAAAAAGGGAATACATTGCAGCTTACCAATCATTGGGTGGGGTGGCTGCATTAGTTTTTTCTTTTTTAAACTTTCCCCCCTCTGTTTTCCCCTGGGGATCTGGCCAGTAAACACACCTCCTGTATTAGAGTGCCCCCACTATAGATAAAGGAGTACAGGGAAGCCTTTGGACAGCAGCATTTTCAGTCTGGGCGGAGGGGGTTGTTAGATGCACTAGTTAGATGTACTAGCAGATTTAGATACACTGAAAAATTTAAACTGAACTCCAGCTCACACTGCAGTTACACAAGCAGTTACATAGTTACATAGTTAGTCTGGTTGAAAAAAGACAAAAGTCCACCCAGTTCAACCATTAAAAAAAGGTTATAATTCTATACCCACAGTTGATCCAGAGGAAGGCAAAAAACCCAGCAAAGCATGATCCAATTTGCTCCTGCAGGGAAAAAAAATTCCTTCCTAATGCCCCAAGAGGCAATCGGATATTCACTGGATCAACTTTACCTATAAATGTTAGTATCCAGTTATATTCGGTGTATCTAGGAAAGAATCCAGGACTTTTTTAAAGCAATCCACTGAGCTGGCCAGAACCAACTCTTGAGGGAGTCTGTTCCACATTTTCACAGCTCTTACTGTGAAGAAACCTTTCCGTGTTTGGAGATTAAATTTCTTTTCCTCCAGACGTAAAGAGTGCCCCCTTGTCCTCTGTGATGACCTCAGGGTGAATGACTCTACACCGAGTTCACTATATGAACCACTGATGTATTTATACATGTTGATCATATCCCACCTTCAGTTCCTCTAATCCTTCCTCATAGCTGAGCTCCTCCATGCCTCTTATCAGTTTGTTTGCCCTTCTCTATACTTTCTTTAGTTCCCCAATGTTCTTTTTGTGAATTGGTGCCCAAAACTGAACTGCATATTCCAGATGAGGTTTCACTAATGATTTGTATCGGGGTAATATGATATCTGTCTCTCTGGAGTCTATACGTCTTTTAATATAAGAGAGGATTTTGCTTGCTTTGGAAACTGCAGCTTGGCATTGCATGCCATTATTAAGCTTGTGATCTACCAGAACTCCCAGATCCTTCTACACCATTGATTCCTCCAGTTGTACCCCCCCCCCCTAGTATGTATGATGCATGCATATTCTTAGCCCCAAGTGCATAACCTTACATTTATCAACATTAAACCTCATTTGCCACATAGTTGCCCAATTAAACAGTGCATTGAGGTCGGCTTGTAAGTTGAAGACATCCTGTAAGGACGTTATTCCACTGCACAGCTTGGTGTCATCTGCAAAGACTGAAATGGGATTTATAGTCTCCCAGACCCTATATCACTTATAAATATATTAAAAAGTAAGGGTCTCAACACTGAACCTTGGGGTACACCACTGACAACCCTAGACCATTCAGAGTATGAATCATTAATCACTACTCTCTGAATACAATCTTTTAGCTAGTTTTCTATCCATTTACATACAGATTTTTCCAAGACTGTAGACTTTACCTTACACATTAGCCGTGTGTGGGGAACTGTGTCAAACCCTTTTGCAAAATCCAAGTATACCACGTCCACTGCTACCCCTCTGTCCAAGGTTTTGTTCACCCCCTCATAAAAAGAAATCAGATTTGTTTGACAACTTGGGGTTTATTTACTAAAGCTGGAGAGTCCAAAATCAGACTCCCTTCTGCATAGAAACCAATCAGCTTCCAGGTTTCATTGCCAAAGCTTCATTGAACAAGCTGAGGTTAGAAGCTGATTGGTTTCTATGCAGAAGGGAGTCTGATTTTGGACTCTCCAGCTTTAGTAAATAAACCCCCTTCTGTCTTTCATGAATCCATGCTGTCTGTTGCTTAAAACATTTTTTTCCAGCAAGAACTCATCTATGTGGTCTTTTATTAAACTCTCCAGTATCTTCCCAACTATAGAAGTTAAACTTACAGGTCTATAATTACTTGGTAAAGATTTTGACCCCGTTTTAAATATAGACACCACATTGGTCTTACGCCAATCCAGTGGTACTATGCCAGTCATTAAAGAGTCCTTAAAAATTAGAAACAATGGCTTTGAAATGACAGAGCTCAATTCTTTAATGACCCATGGGGTGTATGCGATCTGTTCCAGGTGCTTTATTCACCTTTATTCTGTCTAAATATTTTTGGATCATATCAATTGTGAGCCAATGTGGATCACCTGGAAATGTGTCAATACCATGCCCATTATAGACAAGTGCTCCCTCATGCTCCTTTGTATATGCAGAGCTGAAGAAGGTATTTTATAAATTTGCCTTCTTTGTCCCCAGTCACCCACTCTAGATTATTTTGTAAAGGGCCTACATGCTCGGACCGAACCTTTTTACTATTAATATATTTGAAGAATTTTTTGGGGTTGGTCCTGCTATCTTTTGCAATATGTGGTTCATTTTCAATTTTTGCAGCCTTTATTTCCTTTTTGCATATTCTGTTATATTCTTTGTAATGTTTAAACAATGATAGCGATCCTTTATTGTTATATTTAATATAAGCGCTTTTCTTATTATCTATAGCTTTTTTTTTACTTTGGCCATAAGCCACATAGGTTTGATTTTTAGCCTTTTAAACTTGTTGCCCATGGGAATATATTTTGCAGTGTGTTCACATACAGTCTTTTTGAAGAACTCCCATTTCTGTGTTGTGTTCATTACAACAGTTTTTTTTTTCTTTTGAGATAATGGTTTTACATGAAAAATGAAAGCTGATCATTGTAAGTACCCCTGTCAGTGGTACATGGTCTTCTCAACACTCTAACTGATATATTTAGAGGGGAGCTTGTTCTGTTGAAAAATAACAGAGTTACTGGCTGGACCACTAAGTGAAAATAAAGGAAAGAAAGCCTAAAAAGAAAATTAATGCAGCCATCACATTCAATAAATGGTAATCTACTATATTCTAAATGTTAGCTTTTGGGTTTAATACTGCTTTAAAGTTTTCACACCTGCTCTGCACATGCTCAATTTCTCTCTATGTTGTGGCACTGTGCCAAAAATGTAGAGGGAAATCTGCTGACAGCCTAAAGGTTTACTGCTGCTCAGGGGCTCTGGGCTTCAGCGAAATGGCAGCCTCCAGCAGGAAGAAACAGGTCCATGCTGGAAGCAGTTTACAGCACACTCTAATTTTAGTAGCATAATTATGAATGTGAAATGTATGTTCCTTGCAAAAGAGCATTATTTTTTATCAAGTTGCTATGGATAAGGTTCTGCTTTAAAGAGGAACTTTACCCTATTATAAAAATTACTACAGAAGCACCTTTAGAAATGTTTAGTAATGTCAGTCTACAAACAAAGACTAGATAAAGCCAGGTTTTTTTAATTTTTTTGCATACCTCGATTTTTTTTTCTGCCCATTCTTCTCATGGTGGCCATTTTTGTAGATGAATCCACCTCCCTTTACTTCCTGGAACTCTGCCTAGGACTCTGGTCTGCCTCTTGGAACATGTGACAGGAACTTCCCGGGATGCAGCTGTGAGGTCAAGGTTATATCACCAGTGCCTCACTCAACCAGGAAGTGGAAAACAGTAATTGTAAGTAAAAGCAAAAAATGTTTGGTTAACTAGTTCCTGCCCGCCCGCAGTACATATACTGCGGGCGGGCAGCATGGCAGACTTCGATGTACCCGTACATCACTTAGCACATGCACTGCGAAGCCCCAAAAAATGGGTAATTTGGGGGGTATTTGTACTGTCCTGCATTTTAAGGGCCTCAAGAAATGCGATAGGCCATTAGTACATCAGAGATATAACACAAGATATTAGGTGAGCGCAGATAATATGGTAGCCGCTAGCACAAAAGGCAAGGTAACAAACCCACAGTAATAAATTCATATGTAAGTGCATTACTAGAGCATAAGTGACAAATGCAATCATAAAGTGCTTATGTGAATAGAAGCACATAAGCACATAAGTCCTTATTCAAGCATGGTCCCTTATGTGCTGGCAGCCATTTTGGTATGATTTTATGCATTTAACTCTTTGCTGTATATTTATGAGCTTCTCCCCCTAGGAGGATCCTTGGCTGGTTTTGCATAGCCCTGTTTCTGGCTTCCTGAGACCCCCCATAAGGATCAGCATTAACGCTATTATACAAGTAGCGTTCTGGTGAGTGCATATCTATATAAGGTGGTGGACTCCTATGTTGGATCATGAGCACTCTTGAGCATCCCAGCTGGTATTGCTGCACCTTGTAGTTCCACGAACATCAGGCATTGGTGTGACCTGTAGGGCCGCGGAGTATGCATAATCACCATTATTGCTAACTAAGCACACATATATCACTTGGCACTTCTGTGACTTGCAGTGCCATGGACTATTCACTATTTATATTCAGAATTTTATGATTTTATGATTCTATGTAATCTGAGATGTTTTATTTGATTTATTTCACTGGAATATTGTATGAACACTTCTATTCACGTAAACACTTTATGATTGCATTTGTCACTCATGCTTTAGCACTGCACTTACATTTGAATTCATCAGTACATCAGGATTGATCAATTTTCAAATATATACCATAGTTTGTAGACACTATAACTTTCACACAAGCCAATTAATATACATGATATATACTAATATACACTATACATAATATACACCAAAGGCATGTAGCCAAATACATTTTGGTCTAAATTTATGAAGAAATTTGATTTTTTGGATATATTTTATAACAAAGTAGAAAATATTGTTTTGTTTTTTAAATGTTTGGTATTTTTTCGTTTATTTAATATAAAACCAGTATTGGTC